TCAAGTCTATCACACCATCCCAGAGTTCTTACTAATTTGAGCATATGCCTGATGACAAAAGATGTTCAGTTTGTCACCAGCAGCTCCTATCTGACTCCAATAATGTTGCTTCTCAGTCCCACTCCACAAGTATCTCATAGAAGTAAATAAAAAAATCCTCATCCCTGCCTGCTGTGAAACGAATTGTCTTTTGTAAAAATGATGTAATGTGATGTAATGGAAATAAAACTGGGAGACTTGGAAACCAGACAGTAGCCTTCGTTCTACCACTACTCTAAGTGGTCAGGTTTCTCAAACTTCTGAGGCTCCATTTTCTCACTTGCTCATCTCAAGGAAGTATTAAGAGGTCATGTTGTAATACATGAAATCACTGAGATATGAAAATCACTGGTAAAGTAAAAAGTGTCACATAAGTATGCCACTGTGGTGGTGGTTGCACTTTTTATTTACTCTTACATATGATTTCGGACAGAGCCCCCTATGCTGACATATCCCTCTTCAGTCTAGGAATAGATTAAAGATTGCACATAAATTTTCTTCAGGCATTTTGCCTCCATACTCTCACACTTTTAAACTACTTTTATCTCTTTATTGTATAGATCTATCAGGTTAATTACTAGTAGTACTATGAAATTTTCAAATTATATTCCACATACTATTCTGTGAGAGCAGAGACTATTTTGTACTTGCCGTATCCACAGGACCCAAAACAATGTCTAGGATATATTTGGGTCTCATATATAGTTCTGGGTTGAATTAGTGATGAAAATAATCCCATATGTTTACTTGCTTTTGTTACCAAAAGGAATATAGAAAGCTCATTGTAAACAAAATGTTTTTAAATGCATAAGATAAAGCACAGAGGATTGCAAAGAAAAATTGACTTTATTCAACTTTCCTGAAATGTAGTTCTATTCACAAACAGTCCATGGTGCTGGCTCTTAAAATATGGAAGGATTTCTAACTAGTTATCAGAAAACACACAATCCATAACTGTAAATTGCAAAATTACTTTGATAGAATGTAAAACAAATGCAAGCTTTACCAGGTCTCTTCTTTAAGAAATCTTTGCACTTCTAAATTATAATAAAAACAATGGATTTTTTAAAAAATCTATTTTGTTAAATTTCTTTTGGTTGCAACAAGAAAAATAGGTTTTAGTAAGCTTACTCAAAAAGCACATTTGTCTGGGAAGATACCATCATAGAATTGACAGGTGGGAAAGAACGTAACAGGAGTAGCTCTGGAGATTTCAGCTTTCTCCAGTATAGGGCCATTAACGGTGGCTCCCAGTGATGGGTCCAAATTTCAGAATACCAGAAGAGAAACCCAACTGATCAAGCTTGAATCACAGATGCATGCCTGAATTAGTCAGCCAGGGTCAGATAGTGGAATCGTATAGTAGAGATATCAGCACTAAGGGCTACTGTATGCTAGCAGGATGAGCTGGAAAGCCACCTCAAGAGCTATCTAGTCTTATTAATCTGCTTCTAGGAAATAGTACATTTATTTTATACTTACTAATTTTTCCAAAAGAAACATTTCACTGTAAGACAATTTTGTCTATTGATAGCTAGACTACCTTTATAATTATGAATTTTAATCTGTGCCAAACCACCTGCTGCTATATTAATAAATGGCTTAATATCATATAATACAGCCAGTATAATGTAGTGGCATTATGGCATAGGTGTTAAGAGAGTGGCCCTTGAGCCAGACTTGCATGGCTTCATATCCCGCATCACTTAATTAACTGTGAAAGATTGGATAAATTACACAGTGTCTGTCCTTCGTTTTTATTGTCTGTAAAAAAGAAGTTTATCAGTGAGCTTTCACTGTAGTACAAACCATAAAATCTCACTGGCATACCACAATAAGCTTCTAGTTTTTGCTCAGGAGTCTGTGGGTAAGTTGAAGTAGGTATGATCCAGGCTGGCCTCAAGTGGACATGGTTCCAAGTGGAGGAAAGGTCTAAGTCTGAGCCAAATGTCTCATTTTCCTTGGAGCTAACTAAAGCATTTTTTTTTCTCAGATTAAAAAGCAAGAGGGGCACCTGGGTGGCTCAGTCAGTTAAGCGTCAGACTCTTGATCTCAGCTCAGGTCTCAGGTCTTGATGTCAGGGTTGTGAGTTCAAGCCCAACGTTAGGCTCTGCACAAGGCATGGAGCCTACTTAAAAGGAAAAAACAAAAAACAAGATAACAAGGGAAGAAGTGCAACTGCACAAGCATATTTCAAGGCTGTTTGCATGATGTCTTCTCTTACTCTGTTGGTCAAAGCAAATCTAGGCCCAAAGTCACAAAGCAGAGGTATATACATGTATACCTCTTCCATAGACCTTCCATGGAGGTGTGCTAGGGAAAAAGGGCATGATCCAATCTACCACAGTGAGTAAAATTACTACTTATCTAATAGAATTATCATAAGTTCAATATACGTAAAGACCTTAAAATAGTGCCTGGCAAAGAGTAAATGCTCGATAAATATTTATTATTATTGGGCATACTCTTATGCAGAAACTCACACAAAAGTTCAGTGTTATATATATGTTACATAAAATACGTATTTGGGACGTGTGTCATTTCCTTGGCGTTGAACACACATGCTAAATTTAATTTAAAATTAGTCTCTATTTTTGTTACTATGATTAGATGAGCAAGATTATGTGTCTCTCAGACTGGTAAGCCAACTTCTGGGATAGTCAGAGTGATTACTACCTCAATTATTTAACTGTTAAGTGGAATCACAGACCTGCTAAAGACCACTGAGTTCAGTCCTCTTGTTTTACAGATAATGCATTGGGCCAAGAATGGTAAGATATCCAAATGAAAGAGAAAGAGCTAGATGGGTAAAGATGGATGGATGACTGATAGATAAGGAACTAAATAGAAAACGAGAATGCAGAGAAGGGCAAACCTAGATCTGTGGAATTCTAGCTCACTGTATCATACAGCCCAGGTGTTATTTCCTATAGTTTTATTGAAATGCCATTTATCATGTTTTTTTCTTTTAGTGAACCTTAAAAGAAGAAATAATTTTAAGAAGTTTTTAAAATGCTTTCTTACTTAAAATGCTTCAATTGAGAAGAACTATATTATAGGGTAGGATTTACTTATAATGTAAAAAGCAAAAACAACGAGTCCTTACAGAAGCAAATACTGATTGAATACTTATCTGTTAGGCACTGGGCATACAGTAAAAAAAAATAATCCTTGGTCTGGTGAGCATACCAAGTGGTCATTCCTTTGTGTGTGATGGACACAAACATACAGGAGAGACAGGCAATAAACAAATTAATATGTAGGATATTCCACAAACAATAGGTAGGATATTCCATAATATCTTCTGTGCAATTCCAAAATCAAAAAGCTCTGAAATTGAAAGTGTTTATAATTCATATCGTGGTAAAAACCTGACCTAATCTTACTTCGTTTAGTAGTAAAAGTGATATGAGGCTATTTATTGCCTTTTTTAAAAATCCCACTTAGAATGAATATATGTTTTCCTGTAGATGTATTAACCTACTAGACCTCTCAGATACAGAGGGAAGAGGAGCATGTTACATAATTATAGTACATGTACCATATTGCCTTTAAAAACTCAAATAATACTTAATTCCAAAACACATCTGGTCACTGTAAGGATTGTGTTGGGCTATATAACATTTAGAAATTATAAATACCATGAATGAAAATGAAGCAGGTATGGGTATAAAGAATGGGGGTTGAGAGTGGAGTTTGCTTGGCTACATAGTAAGAGAAGGCCTCTCTGGGAAGTGACTTTTGAGCAGATTCTTGAAACAGGCAATGGAGCTCTCAAAGGAAAAGAAAAGAGTGTTTCAGTTATTGGGACAATCATGTGGCTATCTGGGGAAAAGTGTGCCAGTCTGAGGGAAGACCAAGGTCAAAGACATAAACCAAAAGTGTGCCTAGCATATTTGAGGAAGAACAAGAAGGCCACTAAGGCTGTAGAATACCAAACAAGGGAAAAGTGGTGAGATAGGCTGACAGGTAAACAGAGGCCCAATCATGTCACATAGGGTAAGACCCTATCCTAACTGCTATGGGAAATCTTTGGAGAGTTTTGAGCAAGGCAGTCTAAAATCCAATTTTCTTTTTAAAAATGTCACTCTGTTACTCTAATAAAAATACCATTCTTTTGCTATGTGGATGATAGATTGTTACAGTAGTAAGGATTTAGAAAAATAAATGACCATGGCTCTGAGTGAAATTCAGAAATTTAATGGTGAAATTTTATTTTATTAATAAAACAATATCTTAGTCATACTTTAATAAAATATTTATTTGAGCAAGTCCTGTGCTATGAATTAATCTAAATACCATTAAACTATTGTGTTTTTTGTTTGTTGTTTCTAGAATTTTCGCTAAGCATTAAGGCTGAGAAGTTAGCTTGGTCATGATAATGCTTTTCCCAGTCTCCCTTCCTCTTCCAAAGATTCTTCTCTTGGGGTACCTGGATGGCTCAGTTGGTTAAATGTTCAACTCTTGGTTTTGGCTCAGGTCATGATCTCATGGGTTGTGGGATTGAGCTCCATGTCGGGCTCCTTGCTTGGCAGGGTCTGCTTGAAAGATTTTCTCCCCTCTCTCAAAATACATAAATCTTAAAAAAAAAAAAAAAAAAAGATTCTTCTCTTGTACCTGTTGAGAGACAACCAGATGAAAAAGCCTTGAACTGGGAGTAATAAGAACTGTTTTCTCATGCTAACTCTGCCACTACTGTAACTTTGGTTGAGTTGTTTAACCTGTCTGGATTTCAGTTTCCTATAGTGCAAAGTGTGGGAATCGAATCATCTGATCGACATAGCTCTTTCTTACTGCATTCTTGAATTTAACAAGTCTTGTGTGTAAGGCTAAAATTCTGTGATTCTTAATGAGAACTCGTAAAACTCTCAAAATGTCCTTAAATGTGAATCTAAAGAAATACAGAATAACTGGCTATCTGTTCAGACTTGGTAAGTTCACTCTTCTTTCCTTTTTAACAGGACCAAGGAAATAAATACCAGAAGCCAAGAGCACAGAATATCTTCTTTCATCAATCCATAGAACCCTGATACTTCTCTAATTCCATCACACACAAAGTAATGACCACCTTGGCAGATGGCCACAGAGGATGTCAACAGTCTTTTGGAGGCAAGCAATGAAATATTTATATTATGAGTTTTCTGTTGTTAAGTATGTAGAAACAGGTAGTTTTATCTTGCATTTTAATGAAGAAAAACAGTGTTCTTTAATATAGAAATTTTATATATTAAGCATAGCTAATATAACTATTTCTCTCTTCCTTTTCTTTTTTCCTGAGCATTATTGCATGTCAAAAGCTACATTAAGCTCTTTTTGCATATTGTATTTCATAATATAGAGCTGCATTAAATCCTTAAATACAAAATAAAAATTTAAATAACAGAAATTAAGTACCCATGTTTGAAAACAGTGCCGTTTGTATCCTTCTTGGACACATAATCATCTAAATACAAATACTAAATAGTTCGGGAAGTTGGAATTATTTTCTGTTTATTTTGGGATTATCCACACCATTTATGAAATTTTTTTGTTTAATTCCAGCATTTTTTCTCACTTATTTTTAACAACTATTCTGAAGTGCTCCAAAATCTTAGGAAGTAATCCCTTTACATTCCTCACAGCTTTATGTTTTGTGAGAATCCTGCATCAAAAGAACTCATGGAACTTTTAGTTCCTTTTCCAGCAGCTCTTATTGCTCTTGGAAGAACAGTCAGCCAAGGACTGTGGACCACAGTGCCATCTTCAAAATTGAAATTAATTACATTACCAGTTAAAGGGAAAGTTTGCTTGGAAAGAAATTGACTGTATTTTAAAGAAAAAATTATAAATATAAGGAATCTGCCTTCTCCACCTTCATGAAATATAAAGACTTAAGTAGATGAATATAAAATGAAATAAAAATAAACTCATAAAAATTTAAGTAGAATGCACAAAAATTGAATTTTTCAAAGGATTTTATACAAACAAAGAAACTGTAGATGTGCTCACAATTTTTTGTTTAGTATTAATTCAACTCATAGGCCTAAGGTAATTTAGCAAACCAGTCTGCTTTTTAAGTTGTACATAGAGGAACACTTTTCCAAGTAAAGGAGAACATAAGTGTTTAAAAAGCCCAGTGTAGAGCTTCTGAGTTTTCTTTCAGTAACTAGAGTCAAAATTAATTCTTGCTTTTCTGTTGGGGAAAATTTCATCTAATTACATTCAAATTATTCTGGAACTTTTTGGAAAGCAAATCCTGATCACCAAAGAAAGGAAAAAGCAGCTGTGTTGCCCTTGCCTCACTGTTATAAGAATAGCATTATTGTGCAGTCACTGGACTTTATAGAACCAAGCGTGGTTTTATCCACCGGCTGCCTTCTGGCAGAGACACACCTAACCCTTTCTGAGCTGCTGGTAATGTATGCCTTCTGTTCCTAAGGATCTTTAAAGAAATAGTTTTCACTACTTCCTTCAGCAAACCAATCTAGTATAACAGCTCTCGGGAGTAGGAAGTTCTTTCTAATAACCCTTTGCGTAGTTTTAATAATCGTTTCTAAAACAGGTTTTCTTATACTTTAATCACGATTTAAATCTTTTCTTAGTTTGATATAATCAACTTCACTATTTTAAGAAAAATTTTAATGGGGCGCCTGCGTGGCTCAATTAGTTGGGTGTCCGACTCTTGATTTATGCTCAGGTCATGATCTCGGGATTATGGGATTGAGCCCCGTGGTGGGCTCTGTGCTCAACGGTCAGTCTGCTGGAGATTCTCTCTCTCCCTCTCCCTCTGCCCCTCCTCCCACTCGTGTGCTTTCTCTTTCTAAAATAAATAAATAGTTTTTTAAAAAAGGAAATACTTAAAATTGACCATTGCTAAATTAATAGAAATAGTTTCTGTAAACAGTGCTTCTCCATGAGCAACCTATTTTATCAAATTTTGTTCTCTAATATTTCCTTTTTTAACTCATTCACATATCCTATTTTGATCTTAAGTTATTCTTTAACCACAGCAATGTATCTTATGTCAGATAGCTCTAATTTATATTTCTTCCACCTTATATTAAGAACCAGCCCTTTGTTCTCTTTGAATTGATTCTGTTTATGACCATGTCATTAATAAGCCACAGATACTTATAATTCTCATCAAAAGTGCTATTTCATTTATTTCCCATATTTTAAGGCTTATTTGAATACTAAGGTTGTAAAAACTTTTAGTACTTTGAAAGGCAATTAGAACATACCAGGTATGACTTACAAGTCTGCTATATAAAAACACAAATTCAAAGAACATATTAAGACTGATATGTCAGTGGTTGGGGTGCCTGGGTGGCTCAGCTGTTTAGCGTCTGCCTTCAGCTCAGGTCATGGTCCCGGGGTCCTAGGATTGAGCCCCACATCAGGCTCCCTGCTGAGCGGGGAGTCTGGTTCTCCCTCTCCCACTCCCCCTGCTTGTGTTCCCTCTCTCGCTGTCTCTCTCTCTGTCAAAAAATAAATAATATCTTAAAAAAAAAAAAAAACTAATCAACCACAACTCTGCCACACCTACCAGCTTTGTGACCCTAGACAAATTACTGGTTCTCTTTGACTCCCAATTTGTACATCTTTTAAGTAAATATCTTAGGTATTTAGCACTTGCCTAGATCATAATTCAATAAATAGGTGATGTAGTTATTCTACTTTTTGTAAAATGATTGAAAACAGATTTCCTAATGGCCAGCTCAACTCTTACAAAAGAAATAATGAATTTGTCCATTATACTCATGCCAAATTTCTTTTACATCATTTTGTTGTCATACTGCTACTAAATTTTGTTCATTGAATTTTCCCGACAAGCAGTTTATGTTGAAACATGTGAAAATGCAATTTATAAGAAAAATCACTGTTTAGATTCAAAGGGATACATGCACCCTGATGTTGATAGCAGCATTATCAACAGTAGCCAAACTATGGAAAGAACCCAAATGTCCATCGACTGATGAATGGATAAAGAAGTTGTGGTATATATATGTATATATATATATGTGTGTATACACACACACACACACACACACACACACACACAATGGAATATTATTCAGCCATCAAAAAGAATGAAATCTTCCCATTTTCACCAATGTGATAGAACTAGAGTATCTTATGCTAAGTGGAATAAGTCAGTCAGAGAAGACAAATACCATCTGATCTCACTCATATGTGGAGTTTAAGAAAGAAAACAGATGGGGGCACCTGGTTGGCTCAGTCAGTTAAGCATCTGCCTTTGATTCAGGTCATGATCGCAGAGTCCTAGGATCAAGCTGCTTGTCAGGCTCTCTGCTCAGCAGGGAGTCTGCTTTTCCTTCTCCCTCTGCCCCTCCCCCTCACTCCTGCTTTCTCTATCTCAAATAAATAAATAAAATTTAAAAAAAAAAGGGTCACTTATGGCTTGTTTCCCTCTCTCTTTTTTTTCCTCTACTCCTTTCCATATGTTCACTGTTTTCTTTCCTTTTTAAAAAAAAAAAAAAGACTTTATTTATTCATTTGAGATGGGGGGAGGGTCAGAGGGAGAAGAAGCAGCAGACTCCCCACTGAGCAGGGAGCCTGACATGGGGCTTGATTCTAGGACTCTGGGATCATGACTTGAATCAAAGGCAGATCCTTAATTGACTGAGCCACCCAGGCGCCCCAAGCCATAAGAGACTCTTTTTTTTTTCATAAATGACTCTTAATGACAGACAACAAACTGAGGGTTGTTGGAGGGAGGTGGGTGGGGGATGGGCTAGATGGGTGGATGGGTATTAAAGAGGGCACTTGTCGTATGTAAGTGATGAAATCACTGAATTCTACTCCAGAGACCAATATTGCACTGTATGTTAACTAACAAAATTTAAATAAATAAAAAAAACAAAGAACCTAAAAAAAATTCACTGTTTAAAAATGTAGTTGTTAAAAAAAATTATTGTTAACCTTTGAGTCTTTCAATGTACATTCCAAATTTTGCAAGTAATTTTACTTGGGTGTTCATGGACTCACTGCCTGTTGTAAAATTTGAACTTTGTATCAACCACTATTATTTGGAGAAATAATCCATGGGCAAGGCAGAGTGATTTGAAGAATTTTCTTCTTCAAAAAAAAAAAAAAAGAATTTAAGTATCTTTTATGTATACATTGATCAGATGCTTAGTCTGAGAAATTAATATTTACACAGTAAATATTACAAAGTAAACAGTAGTTTGGGTCTTTATATTAGTTTACTAGTTGTGCTGTAACAAATTACCATGAACTGGATGGCTCAAATTTTAAAGAATTACTCTTTCACAATTCTTGAAGCTAACAGTCCAAAATCAAGTTGTCTGCAGGGCCATGCTCTTTTGAAGGCTCTAAGGAAGAATCTGTTAGATGCCTTTCTCTTAGCTTCTGGTGTTGCCTGGCAATCCTTGGCATTCTTTGGTTTATAAACTCATTACTTCAATCTCGGCCTCCCTCATCACATTGTTTTCTCCCTGGGTTTCTATGTCTCTTCGGCTCTTCTTTATAAGGACACAGTCATATTAGATTAGAGCCCACCATAATTCAGTATGACCTCATCTTAACTTGATTACATCTACAAAGACCCTATTTGCAAACAAGTTCACATTCAGGTGTCAAGAATTAGGATTTAAACACATTTTTGGGAGGTGACACAACTTTCAAATAACACTCTCTAATATATGTTTTTGAACTGAGAATAAAGTTAGAGCAGAAAAATTGATTCTAAAAACAAGAGAATTTCCTTTTCCTGGGAAAGAAGTTGTTTCACTTGTGACAAGATATGGTCTATGAGTAGATGTACATATTTTGCTTATAATGATTTGGCAATACCATTTCTTTTTTTTTAAGATTTATTTATTTATTTGACAGAGACACAACGAGAGAGGGAACACAAGCAGGGGGAGTGGGAGAGGGAGAAGCAGACTTCCCGCTGAACAGGGAGCCCAATGCGGGGCTCGATCCCAGGACCCTGGGATCATGACCTCAGCCAAAGGCAGATGCTTAATGACAGCCACCCAGGCGCCCCGGCAATACCATTTCTTGAACATAATTTCTTGATAATACTTTTGCCCATATACTCTATAGCTATATTTTTTTAATTATAAAACAATATCTACCATTTT